TGGGTCACTATGACATTCTTTTGAGTTAATGAATCTATTGTAATAATTACAACCCGCATGTCTTTTTCCAAGTGGACAACTGTAAACCTACTTTTGCTAACCCCTGTATATAAGTTTTTAATTGGTAAGAAAAAAATAAACAGTATGATTGAAAAAATAAAGTACACAAGCAAATTCCACATGCAGAAAAACAAGTAGACAAAAACATGTGAAACTAAAGACACAAGAAAAAGTCCAACATCATTAATCATTTTTTAAAATGCAAACTAACTATAACCAGTATGTAAGTTGTATTAAGTAGGAATCAGAAATCAACTTGAGTTTTCCCTCATGCAGAAAAACTTAATAAGGCTGATTATTTGTATTTTCTCTTTATTCTCTGACATTTTTAGATTGTCACTTCTAGGCACAGAAAACATTTTTATTTCAGTAATCAAAATGTCCAATACTGTGTAATAGCTAAGACCTTGAATTCCATTTAAAGATAAAGCTTCCCCCCTCCCCCAGCTTGGTACTGCTCCAGATAGACTGTAGTGAACACAGATGGAGGTGGGGTCTTTGTTTCCTCATTTTGCACTTTCTCCAAGCAGTAAGAACTTTTCTGCCCCTGATCTCTCATCTCAGTTTCTAACTCCTCTAGGATGGCTCACTGGCATGGCATCTGTTGTAGGCTAAATTGTGTGCCCCCACCCTCCAAAATATACAGATATATAGAGATGGAGAGAAAGAGAGAGAGAGAGAGAGAGAGAGAGAGAGAGAGAGATTTGAGTCCTAATCCCCAGCATCTCAGAATGTGACCTTATTTGAAGAAAGGGTCTTTACAGAGGTAATCAAATTAAAATGAGGTAATTAGGGTAGAACCTAATTCAGTGTGACTAAAGTCTTTATAAATAGGGAAATGTCAATGGGGGAGGGGAGAGACATCTGTAATACTTTCAACAATATAAAATTTTTAAATAACTAGAGTAAATTTGAACACACAAACCTGCATAATTGGAAGACTATGTGAAGAGACAGAGAGATGACAGCCATCTAAAAGCCAGAAAGAGAGGTCTGGAATAGATCCTTCCTCACAAAATAGACATTTATCACTCTGTGTCAAATACCAATCTTCTAACTGTAGAGATCCCATATCAAACTCTCTGTGTGGTCTTGAAATTTCTCTCTCTAAGCTTAATGGAGCATCCCCATCTCTAACCATTAAAGAAAGGAGGTAGATCTCAGAGTATATCAACAACTCTGTCCAAAGAAATCTCTAGTCTCCACTCCCTTTCTTGTTTTTTTTCCCAGTGTTTTTACAGGGTGGAGAAGAATGGAGAGGTAAGAATAACCAAGCCAGTTCCTACAAAACTCAGCATCTCACTTTGGAATATGGGGATTACCACATACCTTCGGGCTTCAGGCAAAACTGAGTCAGAAACAATTCTGTTTTGTTTTGTTTTTATCCTCACCCGAGGACATTTTTCCATTTTTTGTTCAGATGGAGTGGGAGGGGGAGAGAGAGAGAGAGAAACATCGACATGAAAGGGACACGAGTGGTTGCCACCCACACAACCCAGCCAGGGCCAGGGACAAACTGCAACTGAGGTACGTACCCTTAGCGGGAACCAAACCCAGGTCCCTCCGGACCCCAGACTGATGCTCTAACCGCTGAGCAAAACCGGCCAGAGCAGAAGCAATCCTGTTATAAATGTAACATTGGATGTGTTTTTTCACCTTTCATATTGGCAAAACTCTAATAGAATTATCACATCCTTCCTCAGCAAGGGTGTGAATAAATATGGTTCTGGTACAGTGTTGATGAATGCCAATTTTGCACAATTGTATGAAGCAAAATTATTTTAAATCAACATTCCCTTTGCCCTGGCTGGTTTGGCTTAGCGGTTAGAGCAACGGCCCAAGGACCAAAAGAGTCACAGGTTCAATTCCAGTCAAGGGCACATACCTTGGTTGCAATTCGATCCCCAGCCCTGGTTGGGGTTGTGCAGGCAACAAATCAATGTGTCTCTCTCACATCAATGTCTCTCTCTCTCTCTCTCTCTCTCTTCTTCCCTCCTTCCCTCCCACACTACCTGAAAATCAATGGAAAAATATCCTCAGGTGAGGATTAAAATAAATAAACAAATAAAAAATAAATCAACATTCCCTTTGATCCAATAATTTCTGTTTGGAATTCACTCAAAAGGAATACCATTACTGAAGGGGTGTGAATAAGGATATTTCTTATAGCGTGGTCTATAATAACATATTTGTAAATAATTTGATTAAGCAACAAAAGGTTTATTATGGTGTATTATGGTCAAACCATTCATAGGAATTCCATGGATATAGTCTGTGAATGGCAAGAGAAAAACAAGGGCAATAGTTCACATTGTTCCCTCTTCTTGGTCATACAATTAAGGAGTTGATCCATTCTTTGTGCCTACTGACTTGCTTCATGAGAAATCCTCAAAATAGCTCTGATGTAATACTTTAGTGACTCCCCAAGTTGGGATGGAAACTAAGTTATCTTTAAAACTCTGGAATATGTATAGATACATTAAGTTTTCTCATGGCAGTAAGACAGATGCTCAATAAATATTATTGAATGAATGAAGACTTTTCTGTACCTCATTTTTACCACTCTTATCTACAAAATAGGATTCTAATAAGATAATCTATGTATATAAGAAAGATCTCTTTATTTTTTATTAATTTATTTTTGTAACAGATATTTCTCCTTTTTCCCCCATTTACACTGTCCTCCCGATCTCCCCCCCCACACACACACACACACTGTCCCCAGCATTGTTGTCTATGTCCATTAGTTATGAATACATGCATATAAGTTCTGTGGTTTATCTCTTCCCTCCCTCCTACCCCCTCTTCTGTGTCTCTGGGTCTATTTTGTTCATCGGTTTGTTTTGTTCATTATATTCCACAAATAAGTGAGATCATGTGATATTTGTCTTTCTCTGATTGGCTTGTTTTGCTTAGAATAATACTCTCCAGGTCCCTTCATGTCATCTCAAAGGATAAGAGATCTTTCTTTCTTACAGCTGCATAGTACTCCATTGTGTATATGTACCACAGCTTTTTTATCCACCCATCTATTGATGGATACTTGGGCTGTTTCCAGACTTCAGCATTTGTAAATAGTGCTGTTATAAATATAGGGATACATATATTCTTCCTGATTGTTGTTTCAGGCTTCTTAGGGTATATTCCTAGAAAACGGGATCACTAGGTCAAATGGCAGTTACATTTTTAACTTTTTGAGATAACACTATTTGTTTTCCATAGTGGCTGCACCAGTCTGCATTCCTATCATAGGTATACTAGAGTCCCCTTTTCCCCACACCCTCACCAGCACTTGATGTTTGATGACTTGTTGATGACACCCATTCTGACAGGTGTGAGGTGATACCTCATTGTTGTTTTAATTTGCATCTCTCTGATGATGAATGACGTTGAGCATTTTTTCATATGTCTCTTGGGCATTTGTATGTCCTGTTTGGAGAGGCGTCTCTTTAGGTCCTCTGCCCATTTTTTCTGTACCGCAGGCCAATGCTCCAACCGCTGAGCCAAACCAGCCAGGGCCCTCTGCCCATTTTTTAATTGGGTTCTTTGTCTTCCTTTTGTTGAGTTGTATGAGTACTCTATATATTTTGGAAATTTACCCCTTATCTGATACATCATTGGCAATTATGCTCTCCAATAGAGTGGGTTCCCTTTCCATTTTGATGGTTGTTTCTTTTGCTGTGCAGAAGATTTTTAGTTTGATGTGGTCCCATGAGGAAAGATCTCTTTAAACAGCAAGTCATTCTAATATGTTAATTATTAACATTGTATTAGAGTACAGTGATTTTTGCTGTGGAAAAACCTATGGTACCATTGCCCTTTTAGAAATTCTCTGTAACATATTGAAGTTAAACTGAAGAAACTAATATTATCTAGCCCCGTAAGAAGTTTCTGTACATATCCTGAAAGCAAGAAAGTTCCATGGTGATTTATTACATTATGATATTATAATTAGAATCTGATAAGCAAAAAACCAATCTGTTTATTAAAATGAGAGCACATGTGTGCCTGTGTGTGTGTGTGTGTGCACACACACCATTTACATCAATAACCACACCTGGCACTAGGTTACTAGATTCTGTTCTCTCTTTCTTTTAAAATAAGAAACATTAAAAACTGAGACGCTAGATAACTTTTATACAGATGGAAAAATATATAAATCCTAGGGGCACCCTAGAGAAGTGGTATACTGTAGTGAATTGTAAGGAACTGTCAAAAGTAATATGAAGGAAACCGTTTTAAAATAAAGTCAGAGCTGATATCCCAGATGAATTTCCTTGCACTTTTTATTCCTCAAACCGTTGGAAGCTCAAAACCAGGCAGAATAACCTTTGGACTGAGCCTACAGATGAACTATATTCCAAACAGCTATTTACAAAGATAACCAAAGCAGACATCGTGCCCACGGGGCTGAAATGTAAAGGCATTCTTTAGAACTAGCATCACTGTGTTTATCTGCACCTACAGAAAGTCCTTCCCTCTATTCATGTAATTATTCCCCTTCCTTTCTCATTAATAGCCCCTTGCCTTCACCTCCCAAATGAAACACTGCTGGGGTTTCTGCTTAAATCACTGCTTCCCAGAATTACAATTCTTTTAGGATCTCAAAGGCTAATCGCCTCTCACCTAGAGTTTCTATTTTTCGGTTAACAGAACCAAATTGTTTTGTGAACCCAGGTTTTCTGAGCACCGTAAACCGCGGAAAATACTCCCCGTGCTGCCGCCTTTATCTAGGAAAAGGCCCCAGATTGGATGCAGACCCCAGAGCGCCTAGGAGAGCCTTTCCGGACCAGCAGGAACCATCAGGAACCAACTCCGGAACCCACGCGCAGAGGCTCGGGTTTCTTCCGCTTCCGGGGGGACTATCTACGGAAGGGACCGACGGAAACGCAACTTCCTGTCCGACTTGGCGCAGTGCGAGCGAATCCCTGCGGGGCCCTGGAGCGCCACACTCTGCGCCGAGGCAGCCTTCGTGGTCGCTGTGGGGCGCGCGGTGCGGCGGAACGCGCGCGACCATGTGGCGTCTGCTGGCCCGTGCCAGTGCGCCCCTCCAGCGAGTGCCTTTACCAGGTCAGGAGTCCCCGTGTCCCCCAGGCACTTCTTTTTTCCACGCCATTCCCAAGCCCGTCTGTCTCAGACTGCAAGGAGGCCCTGCCTGTGGTTGCCGACGCGCTGGTGGGGGTTGCGCTTGGCCGCCCCTCCTGCCGTAAGGTTTGTGCGGAACCGCCCCAGCCGCCGGTGCGCGTTGGCGCCCCTGGACCCCGGCTGGTCTCGTGGGGCGCCTGAGCCCCTTTCGCGGAACCCGCGCCCCTCCTCCCTGGACACCTCCGTCAGGAGTGTGTCAGGCCCGGCCTGGTCGCCGTCCTGGTTTAATCTGAGTTGTCTTTGCAGGTTCCTGGGCAGCCCCGCCCGCCAGTGCTGGCCTGAAGACGCTGCTCCCGGTGCCAGCTTTTGAGGGTGAGAGCACTTTTCATTTTCACGATTGTAAACCTTTTCTCCGAGGGAACCCAGCAGAGGGGAGAGGAAGGGGAAGGAGTGTTCTTGTGCTTTCTGTCTCCATTCATACATTCAGTAAATATGTATTTGAGGGCATGCTATGTGCGGAGCAGTGTTCTAAACACCCGAGATAAATCAAATCAAATAGGCTAAAGGTCCCTGCTTTTATGTGTATAATGAAATAGTTTCCCCACTGCCTACCCCATGGTGTGTGACCATGGTCCACCCTTGTCTAGGGTTAGCTAATTGGCCTCAAATTTAGACTTTTGATGTTCTCTTCAAATGAAGTTATACATATATGCAATCACTTAACACGATGATGTGAAAGCGTTGATTTCTTAAATGTAAATGTTTATGGTAAGCCAAAATTTTGTAAATCTAATTTACCATTTCTTTTTTTATATATATTGGAAATCTCAAAAAATGAAAGGGGCCTGAACCTCTGAGAGCCTACCTTCTACACATAACTATTAAACTACTACCTGCTCCAGAAGTACATGTGGACTTGTAGGCCAGAGAAAGCATTACTGTTTCTCTGTGGCTTCGTGTAGAAACTGGGCGGGGGGGGGGGGGGGGGGGGGGGGGGGTCCTGTAATTCTGCATAGCCCAATAGCCCATTAATAATTTGATATTTCCTTGAAGTCTCCTGTTTTTATTTGACCCCATCGTAGAGGCATGTTTTACTATAGAAATGTCTTTTTTTGTTTGTTTCTGTTGTTTTTTTTAAATATGTTTTTATTGATTTTTAGAGAAAGAAGAAGGGATAGGAAGGGAGAGATAGAAACATCTGTTGGCTGCCTCCTGCATGCTCTCCCACTAGGGATCAAGCCCACAACCTGGGCATGTGCCCTAACCAGGAATTGAACCAGTGGCCTCTTGATGCATGGGATGCCGCTCAAACAACTGAGCCACACTAGCTAAGCTAGAAATGTCTTACCAGTTAATTTTTTTTTCCAAAGTGTCAGATATGATAAAGATATAGCGTGTCTTGGCCTACATTTCAGCCCACCCACCCTCACCCAGCAAGCTGTTAATATTGTAGGATATGTGCAGATCTCAGCATGAAAAGCCTCTGCCCAAGTAAAGGAAAGAGCACTAGTCTTAGGTTGGAAGCTCCCCAACAAGAATGTGGCAGAGCAGGAGAACTTAGATATTTTCATGTACAATCTAGTATTTCCACTATCCCCATTAACATCCACAGAAGTGGTGTAGTTTTGTTTTTGTTTTTTAAATTTTTTTCTTCCTTTATTGATTTTAGAGAGAGAGAAAGGGAGAGGGAGAGAGAGAGAGAAACATCGATGAGAGAGAACATCAATTGGCCGCCTCCTGCATGCCCCCCACTGGGAATTGGGCCCACAACCTGAGTATGTGTCTTGACCAGGAATCGAACTGGCAACCTCTTGGTGCATGGGTCGACGCTTAACCAATGAACCACACCAGCCGGGCTGTTTTTGTTTTTTAAGTGTTATACTGTCTGGCTTTGTTGTTTTAACTGGATGGCCTAGACCAAAGTATAAAATGTCTCTAGGTCTCAAGTTCATCTTCTGTAAATAGAGATGAAAAATACTACCTCCCTCATGTTCTGTTTCTTGATCTGGGTGATAGTTGTGTGGGTGTGTTTATGCATTCACTTTGTGATAATTCCACTGAGCTGTATGTGGTTTTTTTGGGGATTTTTTATGTTTGTTTGTTTGCTTTTTGGCCCTTTGATATATGTGTGTAAAACTTTTAAAACTTCAACATTTTATAAAAAGGAAGCCCTAAAAAATACCAAGGCTGCCCTGGCCGGTTTTGCTCAGCGGTTAGAGCATCGACCTGCGGTCCTGAGAGACCCGGGTTCGGTTCCCGCTAAGGGCACGTACCTCGGTTGCAGTTTGTCCCCGGCCCTGGTTGGTCGTGCGGGTGGCAGCCACTCGATGTGTTCCTTTCACATCGATGTTTCTCTCTCTCTCTGTTCCTCTCTCTCCCTCCCACTCTACCTGAACAAAAAAATGGGAAAATGTCCTCGGGTGAGGATAAAAAAAAAAAAAAAAAAAATACCAAGGCTATAAACTTCTTTAAAAGATTAAAAGAGATAATGCATATAAAATGTTCAGCTCAATTCCAGCACTAAGTAAAAAGAAGAATGTTGGCCAGTGTTATTCTGTGAGTCTTATTCTCTATACTGTTCCAAATGGTCCCTTTTAGAGTGTTAGGCACAGAGAAAGCATTTAATAAATGTACTTTGGTTTGAAGGTTAAAACTTTGCTATCTTCAAAGGTTCAAAACATTCAATTCACCATTGTCATAGCCAAAGGCGGCCAGTGTTAATAAAAGCATCCACAAGAAAAACCTAGCATATTTGGAACTAGCTTTCCATGGTAACTTTTAGTTAAGACTTTCACCTGATGCTACAAACCTTTCTAGGAAGAAAATGAGTCCTTTGAGATGTGTAGTATCACTTACTCTTAATTATCTGTGCCCCTCTTAGATGTTTCCATTCCTGAAAGGCCCAAGCTTAGATTTGTTGAAAGGGTACCACTTGTGCCAAAAGTGAGAAGAGAACCTAAAAATTTGCGTGACATACGGGGACCCTCAACTGAAGCCACCGAGTTCACAGAAGGCAGTTTTGCGATCTTGGTGAGTGAGTTGAGTGGCAAGCGGCTACGGGGTGGAAGCCAGGGATTAACATCATCTCATACTTTTGAGTCTCTTCCTTCACAGAGTTTATTAAAACTGACACCAGTTAGTTTTTAAACTGATGTGCAACACTCAAATATTTAAGTTATGTCTATTTTTTTTTAAATGTAGAGTGACAATAATGTAAACACAGGGGAAAATAGAGGCTACGTAATTTACCCCGTAATCAGATCATGAGACCTCAGGCCTCTTGAAAAATAAAACTATCCACTTTTTAGGGTGTGGGACAGCTGTTTCCTTACTTACTATGTAGCTTCCATGAAGATTTGATGTCAGTAGCTGCATAAATGTGTGTGGACTAGGCTTGATTTCTCATCAGGCAGCCAGCGTGATGTTTTCAAGCCCTGTTCCCACGGCCTGAATGATCAGCTCCTGCCTACCTCTCAGAGCCTCATGTCCACTCCTGCCCCTCCCCACCCCGTCCCGTCCCTCACTCTCCTCCAGCCACACTGGCTTTTCAAACTCCTTCACCTACACCGTTCCTCTGCCTGGAACACTTGCCTCTTTTCCTTTGGCTAGTTCGAACTGTTCTGGCCTCAGCTATGTCACTTCCTCCAAGAGGCCTTTTCTGGCTACCCATCGAAGTGGGTCCACCCTTGTTCTCATTTATTGCTCAGTCCTAGGCTTTCCATGGTACTTTTTCATTAGAACTCTTTTATTTTCATGTGTATTGTTGAAGCCACAGTTGTTATAAAAGAAGACGTAAGAATAGAGTCCATAAAAGATATCTAAATCCCCATGTGCTTCTGATTCTTCCATTCCCCTTCAGGCACTGGGTGGTGGTTACCTCCACTGGGGCCATTTTGAAATGATGCGCCTGACGATCAACCGCTCTATGGACCCCAAGAATATGTTTGCCTTGTGGCGAGTGCCAGCCCCTTTCAAGCCCATCACCCGCAAGGGTATGGGGCAGCGCATGGGCGGCGGCAAGGGTGCCATCGACCACTACGTGACTCCTGTGAAGGCCGGCCGCCTCATAGTAGAGATGGGGGGACGCTGTGAATTCAAAGAGGTGCAAGGTTTGCTCGACCAGGTGGCCCACAAGCTGCCCTTCCCAGCAAAGGCCGTGAGCCGTGAAACTCTAGAGAAGATGCGGAAAGATGAAGAGGAACGAGAACGTAACAACCAAAACCCCTGGACCTTTGAGCGCATAGCCACTGCCAACATGCTAGGGATACGGAAAGTACTGAGCCCATATGACCTGACCCAGAAGGGGCGATACTGGGGCAAATTCTACATGCCTCACCGTGTGTAGTGAGAGTAGGAGAAAGGAATGTACAGAGGGGAGGAATTGACATTTTTGTTCCCCTCAGCTACCCAGAAAGTCTTTGGGCGGCTCTGATGTCACAACCAGGGAGCTGCATATGAGTGCTGTAGGTGATTTCTGAAAAATTGTACGATACCTGATTTAAGTGCATTATATTTATATTAAATAAGATTTGAGTATCACCTTCAGTTGTAACTTCTCATGGTCACTCTTAATCTCTTAAATGACTAAGAGACAGGCCTGATGGGCTCAGGAGCCCTGGTCCTCCCTGGCCGTACGGTGAGCATCGTCAGGGCCACAGCAGGTGTTTGCATCTCCCACTTCATCTGCAGATCGGACTGTATATCTGCACTACCTCTGTGTGTACACACTGCAGGAACCAGGCTATGGCATTTTACTAGTTACAAGTGAAAACTAATGTTTTTGCAAAAGCAAATAAAATGACAGTACATGGGTTACTTCAGCAGATATTTACTAATACCCAGCTACCCAACTTCTCAATCTTGGGAGGGGCTGTTGGACACTATGGCAAGGAACACACCCTTGCCTTTTAGCAAAAGGAACTGATAACAAAAGTTGAAATTGCATCACCTCTCCTAGGTCTGAAGTTCTTTAGGAGGAAGAGTGTCTGGCTCTGTGTGTGTCCCTGCGAGTTCTGGTCCAGTGTAGTGTGCTACACAACACTCCAGTAGTTACTGCTGGATAACAGGGCCCCATGTTTCCAGCTCCCTGTTTGCCTTTGCAAGATTAGCCTGTTTTTCAGAACTAGTCAGCAGTAGTTTTCTATCCATTGTTCCAACTAAAGGAAATACAAATTGATAGAAATATTAAACCATTTGCTTTTGAAAGTGGGTGGGAAGCACAGTGAAATGCCATATTTTTATCCCACTTTCTTAAAAAGTTAAGATCTTCCACAAAGAAAGTAATCTTTCAAGAGTACAAATTTATCTAAATAGTTGCGTGGTCCTCAAAAGTTTTATACTATTTTTAATGTATTTTTAGTTAACCTCTTGTAATATAATTAATCACTAAATTCCACAGAACAAACGTGGACCCTGCATTGGGGACAGGGTTTATAGAACAGTTTCTCGTACACACATGGCTAGCCAAGGAGGTCAGTTTCAGCAACCTGAATCGGGTAAGAAGTGAGTGGTAGTTTTACTCACCTTTTGACCTAACATCATCTCCTTTGTTATGGTTCATAGAGCACAGTACTAATGACTGTTGCGAGTTCAACCATAGTATAAACCTGTTACTGTTGTTTTCGATCCATGTTTAGTTACTGAACCACAATCCTAGGGCCAACCATCTTAGAGTGAGAGGCTGTTGATAGAACTCCACCATCACCACCCATAGAGAAAGGACAGTATAGTTTGTCAGGGGGAGCCTGTTTTGTTTCTACATTTAGTAGATCAACCCATTCCAGACATTTTACACAGCCTCTGATACTAACCTTTAAAAGGGTTTAAGAGTCAAAACCAAGGACTCATTCATGAGCAGGAAACAGCGCTTAATTATAGGTAATTAAGTCAACAGACAGTGGAGCACCTGTAAGTGGCAGGCACTGTGCTCAACACAGGACAGCAGTGAGCAAGAGGTGCCTATCAGACACTTCGCTTTACAGGCTAGTGGGCCCTGAAGAAGGAAGCAGATGTAGGGTTGGTCAAAGGCGAGACAGAAGAGCAGAAGTAACAAGTGCCCTGACCCTGATCAACTTAGAGCAGTTAAAACAAGATCCTGATGAATTAATTGGGTATGCTGCAATGTCTGCCTTTATTTCCTGAACAGGTGCCTATAACCCTGCAGTCCATTCCTTTAAACCGTCTTTCTGACCAGCTATTATTTCTGGACTCCCTGTTCCTTCACCCCTGCCCTCTGCCCGACTCTGTATGTTATCCGTCTCTCTTTGCATAACTTTCAGTAGGAAGTTGATTGATGCCCTGTGTCATACATAAGAGGTTTCAAAATGGAAAGAGGAGTTGTTGAGAGATCCGTAGTGAGAAGTGATGGCACCACCAAGGTGGAAGGAGGAGTAAAAATGCCAGTCGAGGATCCATCTGTGAGGGCTGAAGGAGATAACAGAAAAGTAGGGGGGAAATCAAAGACAGCAAGGTGTTCAAGATCAGGATCACTAATCCCTCTTCTGCAGGGGTAAGGGACTACTCACAAGGCCACGTTAATTTGTCCTAACCTTGTAAGGGAGGAAAATATACTCATGTCAGGTTTACTGTGTGGCCCTCCTTGTAAAGAGTTCAGGGTGCTTCTTATGTAAGGACCAATTCTTTATTCTTTGGCCATTCCCAGATGATAAGGCCCAAATTTTTCTGCAGATCAACACCCTTATAGAAAGCATTCTGCTACCAGACCCAGAATGGCACAGATGCCACCTCTGCCTCCCTATACCTACTGCCAACACATTCTCAGTCACTTTTCTCACTATGAAGCATCTCTTTTCTTAGCTTTCTCCAACCTTCATCTATTCCAACACCTAATCCCACCCAGATCTGGTGACAAACAACGAATGCCCTTGGGACACCCGCAGTTCCAGTGAGTGAAAGCCAGCCTGACCCTCCCCACAGACGGCTCACCTTTCTCAGGCGAGTATGCCCCCAATCGTAGAAGCTAAGATGATCGCAAGGACGACACAGCAGACCATGATCATGATCTTCTTCTGCTCATCCAGATGAGGAGAGAGAAAGCACATAAGAAACAACACTGTGCAGACAGCATTTCCAAGAAAGGGAGACAACGTGGATGGGGACGTGGAGGAGGACGTGAAGGAAAGGGGAGACGGATCTGGCTTCCAGGACCCAGAGTGTACAGTGCTTTTCTAAGTGAGAGATCCCAAGTTCCATCGTCAGCCGTCTCAGAGGGTAGCTGTGTAGTCTGCCCAGCCGTCCAGATACTGTCTCTCCGATTTACCCCGTTTCCTCCCGGGGCCGGTGCTCTCAGTGAGGGGGCCCAAATCTTGTGGGCAGCAACTTAGCTCCGAAACTCAAATACAGTTATACTGTACTCTTTGAGAGTTAAGTCATTTTCAAAAGTTAGAACTTTGGATCCATCTGAACCAGCACAAGTTTTGAAAAGATTAAAACTTATACTCTGGTTTCTCTTCAGATCATATAAATCTTTCGCCTTTTACTAAAAAAGATTAAACCCCTTTCCAAAACCTAAACCCACCACAGGGTGGCATCTAATCACTCCGTGTTTTGCAGGGAAATAGAGCCGGAACTGTTTCACAATCAATATAAAGTCATTTATTTTTAAATAGCAATAAAATAATCAAGTTTACATTTAAAAAAATACAAACAACAAAAATACCCTTCACTTACTGTATGCCAAACTATAAGCCTCAGACCTCAGTCTCAGGAGGGCGAACCCCTGTGATTAGAGCTGTCTGGCCAAGCTGCTGGAGCCAGCCCGGCAACCTCGGAGCCACGAGCCAGAGGGCATGCCCTGGGCTCTGAGTGGCGGGCAGCGACTGGGAGTGAGCAGCCCTTGCAAAGCAAGCCAATGGGCTGTGCCTGGATGAGGGTGCTCACCTGTCCTGAAAGCGGTAACGTCAAAGCTGAAGCATAAATCACGCAGACCGGCAGGGAATCTAAGGCTCAACACGGCCAGCACAGTCACTACGCTTGAAAATTTCCTGGCTATCGCTTCTCCCTGACGTTGACCGGGGGTCACAAAGAACCTGTCAAGCTCATTAACCTGCTAGAAGGAAGAGCTACTCAGTAGTCCCTGGTGTCCCCCAGTGGACTCAGCCCTGGAGACAGGACATTCTAAAAGTCACACAAATGGTATCAGATTGCTCTGGGATTGTCTCAGGACAAACCCAGCCTAGGCAGCAGGTAGAGAGGTGTCAAAACTTGTCACCTACCTGCTAAGCAGAAAACCTTAATGGAGATTAACTTAGTCCGTACCCCCAAAGACCTATGATTCTCCCAGCACCCATCCAGGACCAGTGGTTTTCTCAATGACATGCGAAGAAGGCATTTCTACTATGATTCGTTTTCAGGTAAGCAAATGGCTCTTACCCAATTTTTAGCTTAGCTCAAGTTTTTTAATTACTTATTTAATTATTTATTTATTTTGAGGTTCTAATAGCCTCCGCTTCTAGCTCCCCACTTCATGAGAGACACAGGAAGATAGATATAGGCAGTCACACAATTATAAACTCCTCTGGAACAATGAAGCGAGTGACAGTGCTGGCACCAGCCTGCAACATTCCCTGAGCCGGAGACTCGAGCACCTGCTTCCTGGCCCAATTTTAAGTGCCCCAAATTTTTTAAAGCAAAAAAAAAAAATAAACACAAACATTTGGCTTCAAGGCAGTGGCTTCACAAAGCATTACTCTAACAGTGAGCAACCAGTTTTTAAGACTCAGCCATGAAAAAAATATCCCATACACTCTGCCTTTACAAATGGTAACCTCCGGGTGACTGCGTCATGCTGGCACCACCTACAGTAAACATGAGAGAATACAACACAGACGAAGACCGACGTTGGCCACCCAGCTGAACATTCTAGGAGCTTCATTTAAAGGCTACATTTCATGCCAGTCAGCTCCCAGACCAAAAGGACATCTGCCAATCCCTCCTATGTTCAGGACACAGGACAACAAACGGTGAGGACTGGGATCCTGCCAGTAGAAGACTCGAGTCCAAACCTTACTGTTGCCAAACTTGGAAGAATCCCTTTGCTTTGTTAAAGAAATTCTCCTAAGAAAAGTACAATGCAACTTCTGGGAGAAGAACACTCCATGAGGTAGAAAATACAGCACCTTGGGAAGGTCTCAGATAATGGGCTTTCCAAGGTGCAAGGCAAAATTTAACACAGCAGAGGGCAGAAAGAGAGGCTAGGTTGGTTCAGACACTCCAGGGGAGGAGGTTTGGAGGAGAACTCGGGGTTATAGCAGGTAGATTAGATTCCTCCAGAGCTAGATGTTTTGCTGGGTCAGGTCCAAGGACGGTTACAGGAAACAAAGGATTGGGTCCCACTCGCTCTCAAGAAGGTCATTCAAACTCCGTTCCCATCTGAAGACAAGGTGGCCACACCAGGCTGGAGTAGAATCGGGCTGTAAGGGAGGCAGGGGAAGGAGGAGCTGATCAGTGCACAGGATGACGGTGAAGGGCAACATTAAGAATCAGTGACAACCCTAGAAAGTGGAGGGGAAAGATCAGAAATACCTGAAAGCAGAGAATAATGGGAAAGTCAATGCTAAAGCTGAGAAATCCAATAGATACACCCAAGACAGGACCTGAAATTAAACATCCCACTGTACAAGACACTAAGCCCTGTGATGAGAGGGAGAATTGTTTAAATCCCTGGGCCTTTTCTAGCCCTTCACACAGGCTGTCACATACCCACCAAAGGACTTGTCCGTGGGAAGGCCTGACCACAGGTTGGAAACACCTGTTCTCTCTGTGGGGCTCACACAAGCGCCTCTCAGATACACGCTTCAGATGCTTTCTGGGACTCCGGTCTTCGCCATGACTCCCCAACGCTCCACTTCTCTTAGAAGGCGGAGGGGCATAGTGAAAGAATATGGGAAAGCTCAGGGCTTATCTTATGGCTACTTTGCCCTATGAGCTGTGTAGGCAAGTTTCTTAACTTGACTGAGCTTCAGAGAACTTGGGGTAACGTTATTCTCCTAGACGGGAGAATGCCTGCCTAGGGAAGAGAAGTGTAGGGTGTCTGTCTCCCTTCCCTCCCGTCCAGAGACCTCTCTCCCACAGAGGGGAGTCCAGACCTAGTAACGATCAGTCCTGACTTTATTAGGAAATTTGGAACACACTATGGTAAGCAACTCAACAACTGCTCAGTGACTCAGCATGTCATCTGAAAACAATAAATCAGTCTCCTGATTTTAAAAATTGATTCACTTACATTCTGAATTCCTGGAATTAGAAATGGTAAGGGGCATTATGAATTGGCAAGACATCTTTCATCCAAGAACATGGAAAGATATCAACTATTATGCCTTTGCTTAATTTTAACATCCTTTCCAATGATATCGTTAAGAGAGCAAAACCTGAACTGTAAAGAAAAAAAAAAAAATCAAGGGCTAGACTCCAAATGCCAGGGATAAAAAGAACCAATCAATTACTTAAGAGGTGTTGATCACCTCATTGCTACTTATCTTTCCAGAGGAAGGGGAATGTTTAGAGTTGTAATAATCTGACTTCCAGACCTAGTCACATGGCAGGAGGGAGAACGAAATATAACGTGAAGGATTGCCTCTGGAGATCAACATGGTGGTATGTATCAAGTCTTAAAAATATTTCTATCTAGCCCTGGCTGATTTAGCTCAGTGGTTAGAGCGTTGGCCCCTGGACTAATAAGTCTCGGGTTTGATTCTGGTCAAGAGCACATACCTCAGTTGCAGGGTCGTGCGGGAGGCAACCAATCGATGTGTCTCTCTCACATCGGTTTCTCTCTCTCCCACTCTATCTCTCTCTCTCCCCCTCCATCCCACTCTATCTGAAGATAAATAGAAAAATATCCCGGGGTGAGGATAAAAATATGTATGTATGTGTGTGTGTGTGTGTGTGTATATGTATATATATACATATATATATATTTCTATTACCTCAGTAACCCAACTTCTGTGAATTTATCATAAAGAGAAAATAGAAATGAGAAAACTATTACACTTACACTGTTAGTGACAGCAAAACAATAATAACAAATAACTGAGAGTGTACTCACAATCTTGTACTGAAATGAGATTTACAAAGAGACTTTGGTGGTGTGGAATGATGCTTATAACTGGGCACAAAACTAAATAACATAGTCAGAACTACATAAAACTGTGTCTGAGCGCATAAACTCACCGCAAAGTCTTTCAGCAATAACATTAAACATTAATTCTGTTCACCTTTCCTGCATTGTATATATTTTTAAACAAAAATAGTATATTTCACTCAGAAAAGTAATATTCAAGAAATCACTGAACAGTCCTAAGTTTTAAGAGGTTCAATAACTAGATCATTCCTATCATGCTACCACTATACACATGAAACCCTGATTCATGGGTCAGCCTTACTTTTTACCAGATTTTAAAGAAATTAATAGGCTAAATTTTAAAGTCACTATCCTGTAAGTTTCTCTAGACTTTCTAGACAAGGATAAGTGGCGACCTCATACGAAGAGAAACAGATGTTGACAAGCAGTCTCCTAGGTCCACTATTAGCTGTGTGTTCAAACTTGCTTTTGTTACTTAACTTCTCTTTAAGCCGAAGTGTCTTCATCTGTAAAATGTGGGTAATAATAGCACCTGTCTCACAGGGCGTTGTGAGGCGTCAATGTTATGTGTATATGGTGTTTAGTACATGGTCGAACACAATTCAGTACTCAAAAATGTTAACTACTAAATCATTCGTGATCCAACCAGTCAGCCCTACAGACCCCAATACCAATTCAAAGCCCAATTTACTCAGAAAAGGAGACAAAAAAGCAAAGCCCAACATGCATGAAATCCAGTAAGAATTCAGAAGACAAGGCCCAGATCCAAAACACAGACTGTACCCAGCTCGGGAGCATGCTTGCTGGGGAAGGGGGGCGAGAAGGAGGTGCTGCGAGAGGCCAGGAATGCGGTGAAGCAGTAACAGGCAGAGCAGGGGCAGAATCCACAGGGTGGGGACAAGTGGGACCCAACCCACGGGCTGAGCCTGGACCCAGAACAGAGTGTTAAAGACATGGAAGAATGCGCAGGCGCCGAAAGTGTGAGAGGGCTCAGGGTGTCCAGGGTGGACACAAGGCGGAGGAAGTGGAATTTGAAATCCCAGGCTAATTTGTCCAGAGGGAGCCAACGCAGAGTCCCAAGCACCTTCCCTTTACTTACATTTCAGTGCAGCAGCCTCTCGGGCCGCCCTTATTTCAGCCCAACGGAAAGTCCAATAATCAACGCTAAAATGCCCAGCAACACAACTACTACCACAATGATAATTATCAACTTCTGGAGAGGGATAAGAGAAACAAAACAAGGCATTATTACAAACAACCAAAGAGTGAAAACAATTCATCCAAAACCCAACCCCTCTCATCTCGACATCAAAAGCAGCTTATCAATTCAAATGAAAAAGGCTACACTCAACAAGAAGACATTCTGCAAGGGCATTTTGTATTTGTCAGGTCACCTCTTGGCTGGCTACATATTCCAGGTGGAAACATAGCTTTCTGTCGGCTCAGCTCACAATGCAGTCCTGCCCATGTGGACAGGCGTAAAAGCAACTACCATGGAGTCGCCGAGAAGCAACAGGCCAAGATATAAAGTGACTCATCTTTCCTTTTCAGGAAGAGGGTAAAGGTGTTTTTGACGTAGTCCTAATTTCAAAGTTCCATCCATGTCTCCCCCAAAGCACACTCCCACCTGTAGCCCCAGTGACTGGGGATCAAAAAGCATGAGCACGGTCCTGTTGTGAACCAGCCTAGGTTCATGTGAAACAACTCCCCAGCTCCCTAAATCCCTGCGCAAGCAATAGGTAAAGTGAGAAGAAAAACAAGGAACCAAAGAACAAAAATATCAGAGCCCAGGAGGAACAGGAAAGAACCGTCTAAAAAGCAAAAGCCACAGAGCTGGCCACCAGTCAATGGGCAGAGAAGCCAGAAGACCTCCAGCACCAGGGACCAGAAGGAGGCGGTGGAGATAGGGCGGGTGATGGGAAGAACATGATTAGACTCTGAATCTGATTCCCTGCTCCTGTGCTGACTAAGTGGCCTGAAGCCGATTACTTCACCCCGACCCTCAACTGTGTCAACTGTGTCATCTATGAAGCAGAAATAATAGGTGCTCCATGAGATATGAGATGTTCATATCGCGATCAGCACAGCGCTGAGGTCATGGTGGAGAAAAGGGGGGCAGAGCTTGGCTGCGGGAGTGGAAGACAATGAAGAGAAGGTTTCTGAAGACAGAGGAGTCAAGTGTAACATCTGAAAGGATGATGAGCTCTGTCCAGGAGCAACACTGGGCAATGCTTCCACCCTACAGGGCCGTGTTCAGTGCGGGGTCTTGCGTGAGAGCCTGTGAGCCAGATCCATGCAGGGCACACCTGGGAAGGGAGGACAGCTGGTCTCCAGGAGAGGCTGACACAGGTGTTTGGATGAGGCCAGGGCAGAGAGAGGGCATGGGCTCAAGGACACTGGTGGGGATGACTGGAGGGAGGAGAGTAAGGTAGGACCAGCTGGGACGAAGGCGCTCACCCTCCGAGCTTCACTCTGATACTTGACGGCCTTTTTGGTGTCAGTAACGGCCCGCTCCACGAAGCCCACTGACTGGTCCATGTTGTTCTCAATACGGTCAATCATGGCTCCCTTTCCCCGGATGCCAGAGGTGGCGGCAGCAGAAAGAGAGACAGGGAGAGGGAAAGAGCGAGAGACAGCGCACAAATGGACCCTTCTCCGAGGGGGTGGGAGAGCCCCACCTTCCGGGCCTGCCCCTGGTACTTCACGGCTTTTTTGGTTTCATCCCGTGCCTTCTCCACGTGGTCCACCGTGTGCATGACATTCAACTCTATGTTATCTAACATCTCGCCCTGTGAAGAACAGACATCAGTCACACTTAATAGCCATCCCGCCCCCCAGTCCTAGCTCTCTCCACATTTTAATCTTCAACGCAAGGGGAGCATCCAGAAACCCCGATGTGTGGCCTTCCGGAGGGCACACACCCACCTTTTCCCATGATTTACCCATGGACCCCTGGTCCTTGGTGGTCACTCACTGAGTCACTTCTCTGGGACAGACCCTGGGCTGGTCACCTGGAGCACACTGCCTGCATGCCTGGTAACTAAATATTCTCACAGATCCCACCACCACCATTTTTCTAAATTAAGCATGTGAGGCCAGAAACCACAATAAAAATATCTCATGTTCTTAGGGCACCACCAGGATCCCAGCCTCTTCCTGGTCATTCGAACCGGAACCAAGTTCATCGGGCCTGAGCTGAGTTTGTTCACTGAAACAGAACAGTGCCTGGCACACAGTAGGCCCTCAGCAAACAGCTGAGGCTGGAGCATGGGCTTTCTCAGAGAGACATTCCCAGGCCCCTTAAGGGACACACTGGGTGTACCCATGCCACCTGGCTAAGAGACAGTGATCTCTTAAAAAGATTTCCAACCATTTCCCAGCTATTACTTCCCAATAGGAAGTGTTGTCATTCCAAGCAACTTCTGGGCATCTTAGGACAGGAATTCCCCTCACCTACCTATACCTCCCTCAACCCGACCCGTGGCTTTATGGCCGTCTGTCAACAGGAAAAGGCACTTACCACCACTTGAATCTCAAACCGGCTCCTCGGTAAGGCAGTGTGGGAGAAAAAGGGGAGGTGGGGATGGAGGGACCAGAAACGTGATCTCAAAGGCCAGAAGGGGAGGAGGAAAGGCACCTGAGCCCGAGCAGGGAACTGACGGCCAGCCAGGCGGTGCCCAGGCTTCGGGCAGGGTCTGTGGTCCTCCAGAGGAAGCAGTTCTCAGTCCTGGCCCGCTGGCTGAGCAGCTGCAGGGTCACGGGCGGCGGCACACCGCCACAATGCCACACCGTGCCACAGGCCTGGGAGCTGACTAAAACTAACACCATGCAGGTGACAGAGACCTGCATCCCTGAGAAGTGTGCCCGGGGATGGGGCCAGCTGTCCAGCTGAGCACCATGAGTGTTTCAGGCTTTTATGTAAATGTTGTGCTATTCCTTCATTCACTTTGTTGTCTGCTCTTGCTCCTGAGCAAAAAGTGTCAACGTTTTTGGAAGAACAAATACAGTATTAAAACAAAAAGGGGTAGGGGGGAATACTTCTGTTAAACCTAACCTTTCCCTGTTAACTGAGGAAAAGGCCACATGTTTTCGACATGAGCAGTGAAACAGTTCCTGTCGGCAGCGTGTCTTAAGGCATCATCATTAACAGCCCATAACTCTAACTTTAAGAGACAAATAAAAAGAGATCCTGAGTCCAGAGGGAACTAGGCACTTGACAGACACATCAAGCCCCGTATTAACTAGAAATGACAGTGAGGCCAAAGGATCAGGAAAGAATGACAAGGCCGAGACTACCCCACATGTCAAGGTTCAAGAATGCATTCCTGGAATACTGGAATTCTGTTTCTCCGTTAAGCAAATCTGGATGATTCTCCCACCCCCACCTCACCTGGCTCCCTGCATTCCCTCCTCACCATCCTCAGGGGAACCTGAGCTTCCCCCTCCTCCCTCCCCACACTGGTCCCCGCGGCCCAGTACCTGGTTCTCCACCAGCATGGCGATGTCCATGAACATGTCGTGCAGCTCCTTGATGCTGCTCTCCAGCCTCACGATGTCCTTGTGCCGTCCCTCGATCTCACTGAGGGCTTGCTTGGAAATCTGAGAGTCAATGATCTACAAGAGGCCGCACAAAGATGGGCCATCAGCCGCCACCCCCTGCTGAAGCCCTCACCCACCCTCCTGCTGAGCCCCTCCTGTCTCTTCCTCCCCGCACCTGCAGCCCACCCTCCGCCTGCTGCCCGCAGGGAGCTCCTGGAGGCCTCCTCTGCAGAGGGCCATGCACCCCGGCTCCCGAGTCACTCACCCCGGAAGTGAAGATGGCAGGGTTTCCACTCTCCAACATCTCCTCCAGCTCCTCGTCTGTTGTCTTTTTGCCAGCTTTATAACAAAAGGAGCAGAGCATCAAACATAAGGTGCGACACACCATTTTAAAAGTCCCCTGGAGATTAGGAATACGGTAACCCCACGATAAAGACCATGGCCTTCACAATACTCCCCCCACAGACTCCTGACTCATCTGTCTTCTGATTTCTCCCCTAATCTGACTCATCACTGATATGATCAGCAGTGACCTTCCTGAAGCATATACCTGTCACAGTCCTTCCCAGCTCAGAATGTGGACTGGCCCATGACTACGCCATGGAGCCCAAGGCCCTCAGGACAAGCCCTCCCCTCACCCCATTAACCTCACGCTGCTACTCCCACACACATGCTTTCCCAGGCCGTGAACAAACGGCCACTCCTAAATACACCTGTTTGTCCGGCTGCGTCCTTGTCCCTCAGCTGCTCCCCTCCAGGGCATTCCACCCCGCAGGGCCCCGCATTCCCCGTGTCATCCCTCACAGCCACTGGCACTGCACCTTTCATTTCATCCATGTTCTTCGCTACCAAAAACGGCGAGTCCCCAGGAGCCAGTGCTCAGCAAGTGTCTCCCATCTACGTATAGGAAACGCTGGCTTCCGCAAGAACAAAACCTCGCCCTGGCTGGTTTGGCTCAGCAGTTAGAGCATCGGCCCGCGGACTGGGGAGTCCCAGGCTCGATTCCCACTAAGGGCACGTACCTCGGTTGCAGTTTGTCCCTGGCCCCGGTTGGGGTTGTGCGGGTGGCAACCAATCGATGTTTCTCTCTCTTTCTTCCTCCCTCTCTCCCTCCTGCTCTATCTGCAGATAAATGCAAAAATATCCTCAGGTGAGGATGAAAAACAAAACAAAACAAAAAAACCCAGCATCCAGGAAGCATGCTGGGCTTGGGCACAGAATATGAGACGGAAGCCACAAGCGCTGCTGCTCCTTCTCCCTAAGTCTCCAACTTGGACGGACAGCCACGTGGCAGGACCCCCAAACGTCAGACACGTACTGATTTCGAGCTGCCGCTGGATTCGCCCTTTGCTGCGTTCACGGAAGTCCACCTGAGCCTCGTTGTACTTGGTCATCACCTCCACAAACTTCCGGGAGAGGACAGAGTGCTGTGGGGACAAGTCAAATGCAGTAAGCCCCCAGAAGTGAGGGAGGTGGGAGGCCCCTAACTATTGTAGAACCCCCACCTCCATCCCCACCCCACATGGCTTCATGTCCAGCCGCATGGGCCTTGGAACCAAAAGATCAATATATCAGACTCAGCTCTTCGGTTTCCTGACTCTGCACTGATGGGAGAGTCTGCTGACCTTTCCACAGCATGCTTTCAGCGTGCTGCCCTGCCCTGCCAACCTCATATGGTCATACTGAGGCCAGATGAGATCACCTGTGAATCTCAGCCCTGCACCCACATGGACTAGGGGTATTTTTTGGCACAACCCCTGGCTTACTTTCTACAGCTGCCAGACTCCCTTCCTACATCCCACACCTGCCAAAGATCCTGAGTTCTTACTCAAACTGTTCTCCCTAACTCGTCTTGCTTCTAACTCGAAAAGCTAATGCAGTCACACTAGAGCCATTAAGCATTACTGGTTTGAAAAATCACCAATATTTATACTTTTTTCAAACCCTCTACCACCATGCAAACTCAGAAGCAAAACCATTGCAAAAACCCAACTAGAGACACACCTGCCTCCTGCCTACTACCTCTTCCCCCGCCCTAAGCCAGTTTTCAGATGGCTACCAGATTATCTTCCTACCAGACTGTAACCGGAGGCAGGTGCATCCAGGAGACCCGCTCATAACCAGACGCTCTAGACAAGCCGTCAAGGACCTCTGGAATATAGCACTACTTCCACTATCCCACACAACAAACTTTTTTTTCCAGATGGGCTTCTTCTCTTCATGTTTGCCCTTCATCACTACCTCAGCCCCGTCACCACCACTGCTACCTACACACCTCCACATACACACACAGACATACACACCCTGCTCCTGCCTCTTGCCTCTTGGGAGAAACTCCACCCCTGAGCCTGTCCATGTGGGCACTCTTACCATCCAAGGCCCAGCCTCCTCTGGCTACCCCCAATTCTTCCCGAGATCTGTTAATGCTGAGAGCATGTGCAGTGGGTTATGTCTTCTCACACTGTTCTCCTGTTGGGCCTTACACAATCGTTCCTTATGCCACCGGAACCTCATGCCAGTTCCACAAGCATAAGGATCATATCTCTGATGACCACCAAAACGCCTAACTCCAAACGAGACAAAGATGACAAACAACCTTTGGAGAGAAGACTTCGATTTCCTCGCCTATGGCATATGAAGTCCTAGGCTGTGCTCTGGGAGCCCTAGGAAGCCCTTCGGGGGCCTCCTTGGAGAAGGCGAGTGTGAGAGAGGGGCCAGGAGGGCAGGATTCCGGCCCTGCTCTGTGCTTCAACCTGGAAAGCTCTCCCAGTTGGGTTCCAAATAAGAACTGTGCTTTTAAAAACAAGAATCCTGAGCTAAGGAAAGCAACTGAAGGATTGAACTAGACGACTGTGAGGCCAGAGAAAGTCCTACCTGGGATTTCCGAATCCGAAGGTCTGCAGACGAGCGGACCTCATCTCCTTCAATGTGCCTCTCCATGCCTGGAGCAGAGAGACAGATTATTCCAGCAACACGCCTGCGGCTGAGGACAAACCTCCTTGCTGGTTCTCACGCACCAGCCCACGGAGAGGGAAGAGCAGGCAGGCACATTCTCCGAGGGTCAGCTAGTGTGAGGGCCACAGGACTTGCCTTCCACACCTTTGCTATCACCTGGTCTCCTTTGACCGTATCTCAGCGTAGTGGTTAACAACACAAGTCTTAGTCACCAAGAAACTTAGCCTCAAGCCCTTTTCAGCTGTGTGACCTTGGGAAAGCCACTTCACCTCTCTCGGTGTTCCCTCACCTAGAAAGTGGGGTACATATAGCACCTCCCTCGCAATCCCGACGTGAAGATTAAATGGGAATGCGCACACAGTGCTGGCCTGTGGCAGACACACCGCCACTGCTCTCCCTGGAAGTCGCCACTCTGATCTCCACCCCCATGGAAACAGGTACTGTGGTATGTTTGAGGGGAAAGAAATAACTTGGGCTGAGCGATGCTGATTTCAGTCCCTGACCAATCACATGCATTCACCAAATACACTGGACAAGAATGCAGACCACAGCCACGGGCCTGGGACTCTCTGGGCCCCCAGAGGAACTGAATCCATGGCACTGGCTTCACTAAACAATACTCCACACTGAGGGGTGGGACTGGGGTAGTGGAAGGTGATATACCTGCCCCCCACCAAGAAATGTCAACAGACTAAATACTATATTTTGCATATGATAACTATAATATAATTATAGATATTATATTTCTATTCCAGTCAAGGAAAAATATCCTCGGGTGAGGATTTAAACAAACAATAAAAAAGGACAGGTAAATGTCTAGGGCTGTACAGGTCACTCCAGACAGTGCCCAAACCACAGGCAAAGATGGAGCAGGCGGCGTCGCCTCCATCGGGCGAGTCTCGGTCCAGGGCAGTTGGACCCTGAGGCTGTGAGACCGATGATGACGGGGGCTGGCTTGTTCCCTTCACCCCCTTCTTACTCTTCAGTTTGTTCCGCACGTTGTTGGCTCTTTTCTTGATCTCATTTGTGAGCAGCTCTAGGTCATCCTTGGTTTCTGGGTAAACAGAGGCAGGTAGGATCCGTTAGAAAAGACCAACTGCGCCCTGACCAATTTGGCTCAGCGGCTGGAGCATCAGTCTGCAGACCAGAGAGTCCCAGGTTTGGTTCCCGCTAGGGGCATGTACCAAAAAAAAAGACCAACTGCTTTGTGAGCTACAACCTCTACAGAGGCGGCGGGGAGCACCGTCAGCCAGAGCAGCACCTATCCCGGTGTGCTCCCAGACTCCCATCGACAGAATCAGAGAGAGCTTATTTCTTCAAGGCATTTACCAGGCACCTCATCCCAGACCTACAGAATAAAAACCCCCAGCGTTCGAGCGCTACCATCTGCCTTTTCAACAAGCCTTCCCAAGTAATTCTCCAGCACACAAAATTTGAAACCCTTGCTTTGAGAGGCAATAATCTGGTTTACCATGGGGGCTGTAGATCGGAAGGTAGGACAGGGTTTTCGTGGGACTTCTGGAGGAGAGAATTCCACGGCTCACCAACTTAGAATCAAGCAAATATTTATGACATACCTGTTGTGTGCACAATGCTGTCCTAGGAGGTATGGAGCAAAATGAGTATTAACTATGACCACCCTTCAGCACCTACTACAAGCTTGGAACTGAGTTCGAATCTAAGCTCTGAGAGAGAAGATGTAGAGCCTGCCTCCAAGTTGTGTAGGGTCTAGTGGGGGACAAGGGACACCGCTGATTCCAGTTCTTATATGCAGTCTGGTCAAGGTGTGCATGGGGTGGTTATGAGGACCCCACTAGCACAGCTGGAGAGACCTGGAAAGGCTTCTAAAGACAGAAGATAATAGAACTGAGTCTGGGAGAAAGACTAAGAGTTAATCAGGTTGAAAAAGAGACTAAGGCCTGGCTAGTGTAGCTCAGTGGTTGAGCATCAATCCATGCACCAAGAGGTCACTGGTTCAATTCCCGGTCAGGGCACATGCCCAGGTTGTGGGCCTGATCCTCAGTGGGGGGCATGCAGGAGGCGGCCAATTGATTTTCTCTCTCATCGATGTTTCTCTCTCTCTCTCCCTCTAAAATCAATAAAGAAAAAAAATTATTAAAAAAAGAGACTAAGACTAGAGTCTGGGGGAGAAAAAACCATATGTGAAGGACCTGTGGGGACAAGAGCGTGGGGAACACAGAGCCTAGTCCGGCTACAGTGCAGGCAACATGGGGCCGGCGGCAGGAGCGTGGCCAGGACCAGCCCCACAGGCTCTGCTCACACGTTTCACCGCTAGTCTGTAGGTAACAGACAGTCACTGAAAATCTAAACAGTGAAATACCAGTCTCCAGCTTGTTCCTTGCACTTATGGAATCTAAACTATCCCCTAAACTCTGCTCTAAAAATGTGAAATACTTGGGGGCGGGGAGCTTGCCTCAACAGTGGTAACAAACAGGAGATCAGTGATGGGAGGGACTGATATGAACTTGAGCCATTTTGGAACACCTCATGAAGAAAAAGGACTTGGAAGACTCAGAAGGCCAGCACACGCACACGCGCAGAGGTGGGCAGAGATGAGGGTCATCAGAAGCAGGAAGAGTCGCCGCCAGTCATGACAGCCACGTGGGAGGTAGAGGAAAGCTTGGCTGGATGGACTGCGGGGGACCGTACGAGAAGAGCTGACTGTGGCTGGCAGGGTGAGCCCAGAGAGGGTAAAGGAGATTGGAGATGGTACAACGTGTACACTGGTGGAACACACTGCGTACGTACACCGCCCTGCTGTCCACAGAGGACGAGAAGAGCTGACTGTGGCTGGCAGGGTGAGCCCAGAGAGGGTAAAGGAGATTGGAGATGGTACAACGTGTACACTGGTGGAACACACTGCGCACGTACACCGCCCTGCTGTCCACAGAGGGAAGGAAAAACAAGACTGGCTCAGCCCCAAGGGTCATCGCTGGGTGACTCAGCTCTGGGTAAACACTCACTTGGCTCTGGAATCGGTGCAGACAGGATGATACTGTAGAGTTTCTTCGCCTCCTCCACATGCTCAGAGATCTTGTCGATGTTGAGCCGAGTTTCCTCGATCTGTAACCAGAAAGACAACAGCCTCTGTCTTCCAAGAGGAAAAATATATCCATGACTGAGACAACAGCTCAGCGCAGCTGCCCACCTTCTGGGTTTGTGGAAGAAGATGATGGCTAAAACGTCTTCTGCTGCCCACTGAGTAGCCTGTTAATAGATAAACTAATCTCAACGAAGCAGTCGTTGAAAATTCATTCGCATTTGCCCACCTTGGATGGGAGGATTCAGGCCAGGGGCAAGAGCCAGGAAAACCGTGAAGAGGAATCAGAGGGAAGGCAGATCCTTCGGCCAACGGAACCCACCCCACCAAAGTGAGAAACGAGAGAGTGAGGATGGGAGACAGGGGAAAAGAGAACGGAGGAAAGAATAGCAGTGAAAAGGAGACAGCGAACCTAGAGAGGGAAAAACAAAGAGAGAAGAATGAGAGGAACAGCAAGATGGAGAAAGAGAGAAAGGAGAAAGAAAGACAAAGACGAAACACCGACCCAGAAGCTCAAGCTATGACCATTTCCGCACATTTCTGAGGTTCCTGATTATACGAGATGGGTGTCATCAACTCTTTCCAGCCACACTTCCTTCCCAGAGAGAACCCCTTCGCAAGACACTTCTGGGAGCATGAAGGGCAGCCTCAGCCCGTCTTCAAAGGCATCAGCCACCCCGGTCCCCAAGCCCCGCTGCAGTGGAAGCCACTGTGCTGTGCAGAGAGAAGCACATGCCAAAGAGACCTAAACACCCACCCCGTCCACCTGCCTCACTCCCAGAATGAGGGCCATCTCAATGCTGCAATGATTAGCAAACAGAAACCCTGCTAAATGCCAACCAGGAGGATCTGAGCATCTGAGATGCAACAGAAATGCATCTCTATTTGCGGCTTCCAGCATCCCTTTCTTCCATAAATAATTGCACCTGGTCATAGCTCTCCACATTGCATAGAAAGCAGGAAAAATAAAAATTGAGTTTTCTAACCCTCAAACCAGTACTTTTGCCACGGGACCAGGGGTTTTCCCCTCTATAATATTGGGCTTGATGGACCATAGTCAGAGAGTTGAATCACTTGCTTAAAGAATAAAATTTCAAGGTAATAATATCATCAGAGTATATATACAGACATAAGTAGCCACCCAAACATTTATGAAACATTCTAACAATGGGCACAGCCATCCACAGTACTGCACTCGGACCTTAGTCCAAATGAGGAAACTCAATGTTACAGAGGTCACAGGTCACATGGCTGGAGGCAGGGACAACACACAAGAGCTCTCCAGACTCCAACCAGGGTGCTCTTTCCATGAGCTCTGAGACTTGGTGGTTGGTGTCTCCAAACTGTTTCACTTTTAGCAGAGTCCCAAGGCTACGTGACTATAAAAAGGCCCACGGGTGACCCAGAAATTGCTGCGTTCCCTTTATCTCTCACATCAGACACAGGCTCCTCTTAACAACTCATCAAATGTCATTGCATCACACTTGGTTTCCATTTCCACCACATGACTGTCTTGCCAAAGCAATTACATTATCTAAAACAGGGCTGAGAAAAAAGGCTTTCTAGCATAAAATGCACTCACCATTGATAAAGGAGCTTAACGTATGTTAACAAGTCAGACGCCTTAGATTTTGCATGGTGGATGGATCAGATGTCTTGGAAAATATATTGTGAAATATTATTTCACGGACTGAAGAGTACCGTGACCCAAAGTACAGTCAATGGTATAAAAAACGAGACAGGAAGCTGCTAGGATGAGCTGGCGGGGCCTCTAGCTCAGGGTCGCTCCAGACATTTGGAGACTGGATGGGACATGGCTTGCGCAGCCCTGTGGACAGGAGAGGGCCTTGGCGCTCCATCCTCAAGCTACCTACAGGACTTCCTGGGCCCGGGGAGCATGTGTCTCCTCTCCCAGCCCTGCTCTTTCCTCTGTCCTCACCAACCTCACCTTTCGGAGGCATTTCAGAAACCGATTAAGTAACGCACCAAATGATCACCCTTTAGAATGTCAACATGGGCAACTGGCCCACTTCAAAACCATTTCTTTTTACTTACAGCCTGTGTTCAATGCAAATCGATTCCATAACATGAGAAGTTACTATGAATCAAAGTATAAACACACAACCAATATACAGTCTGAAACAGGCATACAGCATTCAGACACGATTCACACACACAGCGGCTGGAGATCTTCCGGGTGTGGTGTCCTGGGTAGGTTTCTCAAGATGGGAAAAAATGACTTTGCTTGTCAGTACTACAGACTGGAACACATGAGCATCAGTGTGTGACCATGCAAACAAAAGACTTTAGGGAGTGTCCCTTGTTAAAAAGGTCCTTGCATTGAGGCAGTTGTGGAAAGATTTACTTTCCAAAATCAAGCCCACATTAGGCTTTGGATCAGGTTCTAAGTGTCTAAAAATACTGAAAGCTTCTTTTCCTGAACTTCGTCTTTATTTTTTTCTTGGAAGTGTTTGTTCTCCTCAGAGGTGACTTTTCTGGGTATTCCACGGTGGCAGTTACATGCAATTAATTTCCTTTTGTGTATCTGCCAGACAACCAAAGAATCGTGGGGGTGGGGTGGGTGCCTAGGAACCAGGCACCTGGCAGGAATCGACCAGTGCTGAACCTGCGAGCTCAAGGCTGTCTGTGTGATTGTTTGGGGTACACTGACATTACCCTGCACAACAGCATGTCTCTAAAGTAAAAGGATCTCACATACACCTGCATCAGACACAAGGGCCTCCACAGGTCGGCGGTGAGCACACCACCACTTTCTCCCTTCGTGCATGAGGACACTGTGGCTCGGAGAGGTAGGGACACGCACACAAGGCCATTCTGCAGAAAGGTGACACCAAGATTTCAATGATGGTATCTGTTAGATGCTAAGCCCTGCCTCCTGAACCAGGTACAGGTGCAAGAACCACCTGTGGCGGCTCCTCTGCCTGCTCTCGCGGGTGCGTGCTACCAGCCGGTGTCACGCTATGTGCCTGTTGGACTCCCTGCTCTGTGAGAGGTGCTCAGCGCCGTTCACTGGGATCATGTGCCTTATTTCTTTGTCTCTGACCAATGCTCCCTATGGAGCGCTTGTTACTCCAGGAGACACTGCTGAGCTAGGGAACAATCAGGTTTTTCTCATCATCATGCCAATTTTGCAGCTATTACATCCTCAATGCCTGCTTATCGTACGTTACTTTTTTTTTAATCCTCACCCTAGGATATTTTTCCATTTATCTTCAGGTAGAGTAGGAGGGAGGGAGGGAGGGAGAGAGAAAGAGAGAGAGAGAAACATCCATGTGAAAGAGACACATCAACTGGCTGCCTCCCACACAACCCCGACCAGGGTCAGGGATGAACCGCAACCGAGGTACATGCTTTTAGCAAGAATCGAACCCGAGACTCTTTGGTCCTCAGGCTGACACTCCAACCGCTGAGCCAAATAGGCCAGGGTATATGTTACTTTTTAAAACATATTTTTCAGTGATTTGTCAGCAACGTGGAAATCCAGACAGTATCCTTTAAGAAAATAAGTTAGAATCAATTTGACCAAGTTCAAGTCTGGGCTCCACCTCTTAGCGGTTTTATGACCTTGAACAAGCCATTTACCAACACCGCCAGCCCCCGTTCTCTCCCCTGTGAAATGAGGTTATCATAGTTTCCACTTCCTAGGGTTGTTGTGGGGTTTAAATAAGATAATACATGTCAAACGCTTAACACAAAATACATGCTCAATAAACATTAAATAGTGATGATAATATAATCATAACCAGCAATTTCTGCACATTTATTATGTGCCAGGTACTAGGCTATGCCTATACAAGCACATCTCATTTAATCTCACGGCAACCCTAATAGAAACAAAATGCTCTGTGATGTCGTCGGGAGCCAACCAAGGAAATCAAGTAAGGACAGCAAGTCGACCACTCCTCAAGTTGGGTGTCTGCCTCATGGAACAAATTATAATTAGCACAGTATACTAATCACAATCATCTAACTAAAAGGAGGGCGTTATTTTCAAGGCATGGATGGCCTCTCCCTCTGGACTAACTAGCAGATGGAATTTAATTAGCCAGTGGAAAGCAGAGAAAAAGTACCACCTGGGAGAACCAGCAGGTGTCAAGGGCTAGGGTAGAGGTTTTGTCCATTCTACAGCAAAGGTCTCTGCCTCCCCTAAGTTCCCATGTACCTGTACCTCCAGTTTGGCATTAATTCCTGCATATTGATTTGCTGAAAATGTATTATGTGCCACCCCTTTAATGTGACAAAAATAATGGCGTTGATGGGTCAAATAAACAACTCCTTTTCACAATTCATTCCTTTTCCCCCGAAGTAAAATCCAAAACAGTCCTCATAGACGTTCTCAGTCAAGTCCTCTTCAATTTCTTGGCCTCTTTGCTTTGGAAAACAAATAAACTTTGACGAAAAGGGACAGAGTGAGTCTCAGTCAACCAAGCAACAGGAGTCAAATCCCTCAGGGGTTTTATCAAGATTAGGACCAGTGTTTTAACTCTCTTATAACTGAAAAGAAATGAATGATCGCAGAGTTATACTGACCGGTGAAAACGAGTATTCTGAGACAATAAGCTCAAGTCAGTTCAGTGTAGTTGGGCTTTGCATCACTCAAAATTTAGTTAAGAAAACAGGAACCTATCTAGTGATTTTAATTGAAGTAACAGAATACAGGGAATTCTTTACACAGAGATAGAAGGGCCAAGAAGCTAAACAGAGGGTGGTAAGACACTGAAAATTAGCAACAGCAGGCGGGACAAACAAAGAGGAAAGGTAGGGTCACTGGGGCCTGGGGCCAGGGCCACCTGATGGGAGCCAGACCGCGGTGAAGTGGACCAGCAGAATGGGACCAAGGAGGCTGCATCTTCGGAGTAAAAGTGGAGGCCATGGGGTAGACATGTCTGGGGAGGGAAACCATGGCCTCTTCCCTCCTTGAGTCTTCCCTCAGTGCCCCCCACCCAGGTCTAATACACCAAAGCCCGTTGGCAAGGGAACCCGGGAAATGAGCTCCCTGCAA